ACAACGCAAACGTCATCTTTTTCGAGGAATGTCACTTTGTCGCTTATAAGCGACAAAATAGAAACAAGTTAAAAAGTAATCGTAAACGATTTACATAAAGCGCATTTCCACTTGCATTCATTTCCCATTTGTAAGATGCAACTTCTGTTAAAATCGTAAAAATCCGGCCACAAATATGAAAGATAGCGTTGCACATGGGCAATCCATTTTTGACGTGCTACTTCAATTTCAGTTTATGAGAAGAATTTCATTTCAATGCTTTTCTAAATAAGAAAGTTGGAACTGCGCATGCGCAAACCTAAATTTTAAAACTAATTTACTATAACTAACTAATAAACTAAGATTTTCCTTTGTTCCAAGCGCCTAAGTATCAAATTTCACTTAAATAGTTCCATAGATAAAAAAGTTGGCACTGCGCATGCGCAAAACCAAATTTTGAAATTGGCGTTTGATTTTCCTTTATCCAAGTGCCTATGGATAAATTTCGTTTAAATTCTTCCATAAATAAAAAAGTTGGCACTGCGCATGCGCAAAACCAAATTTTGAAATTGGCGTTTGATTTTCCTTTATTCGAAGTGCTTATGTATCAAATTTCGTTTAAATTCTTCCATAAATAAAAAAGTTGGCACTGCGCATGCGCAAAACAAAATTTTGAAATTGGCGTTTGATTTTCCTTTATCCCAAGTGCCTATGTATCAAATTTCGTTTAAATTCTTCCATAAATAAAAAAGTTGGCACTGCGCATGCGCAAAACCAAATTTTGAAATTGGCGTTTGATTTTCCTTTATTCCAAGTGCCTATGTATCAAATTTCATTCAAATACTTTTATAAGTAAAAAAGTTTGCAATTCGGTTTATAAATGGTCGAGATGCGAAAAGGGCACTGTGAATTTTGAATCGATTCGATTCAACTTTTGGCATTGCGTATTATATGGCTAAAGCTATGCCCATATTGAATTTCATGCAATTCAGTTCATAACTAACGGAGATGTAAAAGCGATCGAACATTTCTAAACAAAGTTATCGTTCACACGGACAGATAGATGGACAGACAGACAAAGGAACAGACGGAGAGACCAACCGGCAGGCGACAGATAGCAATGCAAAATTATAAACGATCTCTAGGATCGTTAATAAACGGCAAAAGTGTAAAATTATGGAACATGTAAAAAACGGTTTTTTGTTTTTTTTTACAATAACTTTTTTTGTAAGCGGTACAGAAAAATTCCTTCCTTGGTACAAGACTCGACACCATAACGAACCAAATAGCGAAAAAAGTAGAACAATAGCTCTTAAGATAAAAAAACTAGTAGCGTCGCAAAGTTAGCGGACGGACGGACGGACGGACGGACAAAGTGGCCACAATAGCGCATTTTTTTTATTGCGCTAAAAACGGACGGACGGACGGACGGACGGACAAAGTGGCCACAATAGCGCATTTTTTTTATTTTTGTGGAAATGCGCTAAAAACGCTCGCTCTCCCAATTATTAACTATAAATCAAATATGCATTGCTCAGAGTATCCAATGACAACGAGTAAATGACATCTTTCATTTGGGCATAAGATTAAAATGATTTGAGTGAAAAATTTAAATTTTTGGAAATATGTGAACTGCTCGATTGTAGAAAAAACCTTGTGTGTAATTCGAGCGCAAATTGATTGTCGATTTCAAGAGATTGCCGCGCGACGACTGTCTCTTTCAATCGACAATATATCATTTTGCGCTCTTAATACAGAAATAGCTATTATGGTATTCTGAATCGTAAACACCTTTCTATTGATCTGTGATTATATGCATAAAGAGACTCTTTACGGGCTAGCCCGTTATTTTTTTTACGGGCTAAGTTATAACGGGCTGTTTAGCAACAATACATATTTATTAAAGATATGCGAAGGCAGAAGGCAACAAATAAGAAAAATTAAGAACAATCATTATGTTTACACATATGCACTTCAATCGTGCAGTTAGAATTCCCACTAATCATTAGTCCAGCAGTTGAAGACGATGCAACAGCCCCATTTGGCGTTGAGTGGATATTGCTAGGACCCGCCAGGGGTATCATGGCTGCAACTGCCATTTTGCTTTTCACCGACGCTTCGATGTATCCCTCTGCCACTCTTGAGGACTTCCAGCCGCCAATTTGTTTTACTGGCAGAAGATTTCCAGCAGATTCCGCAACCATACTAGCACCACTTCGTCTTAAACAGTACCCAGTATACTTTTCAGGGTGGTCCAGACCAAGGAATTCTGTTACTTTTCGCGGTACACCACCAATGGTATGCATACCAGCCGGCTGAGCAACGCACTTTCCTTTTCTGTATCCCAAAAAAAAGCGTCTCGTTCCAACATCAAGAGGACGTAATTTAGCATATTTTTTATAAATCTCATAAGGATTCAAAGATCCATTTGCATCACTATAAACGATCTAGATGTATGAGCCTTCGTATCTTGCAACTTTACTAGAGCGTACTTCTCATGGTCCTCAATATCATCCACAAATCACAATTAACTTAAGTAATTCATCTCGGCGACAAGCCCCATACAGTCCAAAGATCAAGACAACTTTGCAGAGCAAAAAATCATCTGAAGCTTCTAAAATAAATTTGCGGGTGTCCTCAACAGACAAAATCTTAGATTTCTTCGGCACGTAATTAACATTTTGCGCTATCATGAACGCGATAACCTTTCAAAATCTATAAAACCAATTAAATTAGGTAGATACAACAAATACGGTGATTATTGTTCTCGCAACAAACCTAGATATATCAGCATTGCCATTAACGATGAGAGCTTTCTTCAGCATTTAAAATTTAGTCCATAGACTTGATGCCTTGAAGACTTTTGATAAACCAGAAACGTACGCCAACACAACGGTCTCGTTCAGTACCATTTCGCCGACTCTCTTTGCTCTCCATTCGTTAAATGCTGTCAGTTCCTTTTCGTACCGGTTTCGGGATTTCTCTGGCATTAATTTTCCACTAGCTTCTTCCGCTTCTTGGATTATTTCGTCTGGAAGATCCATTTTCTGTCAGATTCAAGAAAAACACAAAACGTTTTTTTTGTTTATACAACAATGTTGTCGTAGTAACGTTCGCCAAATATTTTCAACGGCCAGTTCGATTGAATAACTTTCCTTTTTTCCAAAGAAAAAGAACTTTTCGTTAAAGATTTACGATTCGGAATACCATAAAACGTTGTACAACTGCTCACCCGTTACCCGAACTTTACAAGCTCGCACGGATAACAAGCTCGCTAAAGCTCGCTTGTTAACTTCCGTGCTCGCTTGTAAAGTTCTATGTAACGGTCTCGCAATGTAAACTACATTGTATTGCTGCCTGCCTGTGCGTCTGTCTGTCCGTCTGTCTGCCAGTGTGTACGATAAATTTGTGTAGAAACGTCCGATCGCTTTAAAAATTGATATACACATGTTCTTCAGGATATAACAAAGTTTACAATTGTTTTTCGGCTACGTAGACCAACGGGCCAAATAGTTACAGACCAATAACTGCGCAAACCTCCAAAAAGGGTTTCTAACTCTTGTTACAAAGATCATATGAATGTCCGGTTTTCTGTGTTAGTAAATATTCCTTAAACTTCAGGCAACTATGCAGATGCAAACAAATACTGCGCATGCGCATAACAACTTTTGTATTTGCGCAATCCTAATTTTTTATTTGTTAATATATTTAAATGAAATTCTGTATCTAGGCACCTCGAATAAAAGTGAAACTAATGCCAAATCAAAAAATTTGTGTTACAAGCTATGCTGATCAGGTGGGACAGAATCAACCCCTTTTAGCCATTTCAAAAAATTTGTGTTACAAGCTATGCTGATCAGGTGGGACAGAATCAACCCCTTTTAGGGTGTATTGTAAAAATGATGTATGTGTGAAGATCTCGAGAATTGTTTGGTATTCAGTTGTATCGGATTTTTGAAATATAAGTTAGAGTTTAAATAAATATATTAATTGGGCGAAAGCCCGTTGAGGGCCCAGAACACGAGAGGGACAATAAATAGACAATAAATAAATAATTTTTATTTATCCACTACATCTCCGAGAGGGGAAAAAATCAAACTGATCTGGATGATAGTTTTTTTTTTGTTTAAAGGATGCCGCCTGAAAATTTGTAGTGGTGTCTAGAAAAAGCCTATAAATAGCCTATAATTGTGTGATCTGAATTTTTCGCCTTCGAAGCAAATCTCACAAGTGGTCAGCTAGCTTCGTCTTTAGCCAGCAGAGCCATAGCTTTTTCTTTAAAGGATGCCGCCTGAAAATTTGTTCAAGTGTCCAAAAAGGGCCTATAATCAGCCTATAATTCTGATGTATTTCGTCCTTCATTTGTCTAAAATGGCTCTGCTGGCTTGTGAGACCTTAAAACATTTGGGAAAGGAGTCGTCTTCAGAGCGCCGCTGTTACAAATACGAAATTATAGATAAATTGAATCGGTTTAGTTAGGGGCTGTAGTCGCCACTAATATTTATTTGTGTTTGAGAACGTAAATTTAAAAACCGCGAGTTCCGTTCATTGGTGCAAGAATACGGATTATCGCCATAAAATTCAAAGAAAACGGTGAACTATTAATATTGAGCAAAAATCTTCTGTCGCATAAAGTAAAATAGTATACGGACAAGGACCATCTAATTACGCCGTTAAAATATGTTCACTAGTACAAAGAACCATTGTTTAAACTGCTGCGCAAACGTTTATTTGCCGTGAACCTTTAGAAGGGCTTGAACTTAGTCAATTCATCGTTGTAAAAACATCTTAATTTCCGCATGAGAACCAATAAGAAAACTTACAGTGCAAACGACTTGAAGTCGGGTCAATCAGCTTGACATTGTAAGTATTAAACGTTATCAAATATCACCAGACTACGTGAGTTGATGAATCACTAATTGCATTTATTGTGAAATGACCAATTTGATACGTCCTTCATTCGAATTTTTCCTTAAAAAATGGGTGCAGTTTTTTCGTAATTATTATGAAATGGTTTCATTGAAATTGAAATCAAAATGATTATACGACTCTACGAAGCAGAAATGTGTTGTTCCCTATTTGTATATAACACGGCAGGTTTAGTGGTAAACGCATCCAGTAACATGAAGGCCTTTATTGCAGTAGTGATCACCTGTTTCGTAGCAGTCGCTCTTGGGGTAAGTACCGTTTACAATAACTAGCGTAGGTTAAGCACAACAAGTTTTTAGCAAGAAGATGATTCTAAGAAGATGATGAAGGATTGCAGAGAAAGTGCCGGTTTCGCAGATAAGGGCTCGTTCCGAAAGGCGATAAAGGAGAACGGCATCAATGATGAGAAATTTCAAAAATTCAGCGAGTGCATTTTGAAAAATACCGGTACTTTGAAAGATGACGGTTCTTTAGATTTTAGTAAATGGAAGGCAAAGTGCGAGGCGTCTGGTAAAGATTGCTCATTCATCGACGAATGCGCAAAGCAAAAGGAAGACACCAATTCAAAAACTTACGCAAGCATTGTCCTCTGCGGATTTAAACATATGCACAAGCAAAGGGAAGAGAACGCATAACTACAGGACGTTTTTTTAGCTGAAATCTGTCAATTTTAATAATAAATTTGACTAACTCTGTTTCTTCTTTACTACCTACATCGCCAATTCAATGTTTTGTTGGAGTAATTATGAGATTTTCATGTGGCGGCGACTAACACAAACTTCCCTTAGATTTCCCAGTTGTACTTGATACCTAATCCAACAGAGCGGTATATGTTATAACATCTGGAAATGCAATAGTGGCACTGCATACACTAAACAAATAAACGTAATCATAAAGTAAACAGCGTAAGCAAATATACTCGTACGATTTACACGCGAAAGCACAAATACAATTTAGACTTTTGCCCTTTTGGACGGGCCAGGTCTCATCCCACTCTAAATCGGTCCTGGGAAGAAGGGGAGAAAGGACAACGTTTTCTGGAGGTCAGAGTGGGTCGTCATATGGTGTTGGTCCTTTGCATGGTGATCAGTCGGCGTTTGTTATATTCATTCGCGAGCAGTTTTTTTTGGGCACTTTTGATTCGCCAAAGAAAATGTCACTGCAGGTGAGAGAATCAGAGTGTCGCAGGCGTTCAGCTTCTCATCGAGACATCTTGTGGGTATCCAGCAAAGACCACAACTATGTTTTTACCACGTTTTTGGTTGAAACATTTCAATCCCAGATCACCTTGCGCAGGAGATAACCACCATCGACCACTGTACGCGCTCTGTAGCCTGAGATGATGTTTTTATTCAGCGGTCTAAATGCTGAATAGAAGGCAGATGCCCTTTCTCATACGGAAATGATACTTCAATTGTTCATCTGATTGTATTCTGACGCAGACCCTCTGGAAAATGGGATGGGAACCCCCATACTCCCTCCGCTTCCTGTTCTTGTGCCAAGTCGCTGATGATATCAAGGCCTCCGACGATTCCTTTGTGGATTGAAACTAGGCGATCAGTAACTGAGAATGGAAGGTGGGTGTTGAACCAGATCTTCAATTTTTCGGTGTCTACAGCGTTTTGCAACTTGCGATGCCCTCATAAAGCACCAACAAAACTCCACATAGTTCTAATTTGAAAACCATTCGAATGCATTAGCGGTCTAAATGCCTTCGGAGGCGTAACGAAAGAACGTTTAGCAGTGAGGGAATTGAGAAAAATTGCGTCTCCGTATTCTTATGCCGGGAAATTCAAATGACACTTTTTTAATACTCACAGCATAAAAAAATACAGATTCTCTGAGCATCATGCATGAAGTTTTCTAGATAACATAATCACATGCACATAAGGACTCTCTTCAGTTGTTTGTATAAAAAGAAGAACTGAAGGGTTCACAAACATTTCCACCACAATTTCTTCAGAAGTAATTATTGCCAAGTGGTAAGACTAACAGTTAATTCAGATTGTGAAATAGTTGAATTGTATCCCGGAGTTTCATTGTAGAACGTTTCAAATTACTTAATTATTTTAAGACTCCTACAGGCGTCCACTTATGGGAAATAGTCTGGCGTATTTAAATTCCTAGATTGTACGTGTACACTGCGCAAACAAGAAAAGACAAACTGGGTTAGTCAAATTTATTAGTGAAAATAACAATTTTCCAGCATCCTGAAGGTATATGCTTCCTAATATCATTGTTTTAGTGAGTGTTTCAATCCGCAGAGGAGAACGTTTGCATAGGTCTTACCGGTGGTGTCCTCCTTCTTCTTTTCGCATTCGTCGACGAATGAGCAATCTTTACCCGTCACCTGGCACCATGCTCTGTATTTACTAAAATCTAAAGTGCCGTCGTCTTTTATTTCATCCCTTGTCCTCAGAACGCATTCGCTAAACTTTTGAACTTTCTCATCGTTGATGCCATTCTCCTCTGCTGCTTTTCTGTACCCCTCCAGATCTCCCAAGCCCGCAGTCTCGGCGCAATCGTTCACAAGTTTTTCTAATTCATCGTCTTGCTGAAAACAATTTGTCACTTAAGTTACATTCATTACTACTCACCGCTAAAGTGACTGCTAGGATGCAGGCGACCACTGCTATAAAGATCTTCATTTCTGTGAATGCGTTTACCACTGCAAGAACTGCTATATATACATACTTACATAGATTTAAAAAAAATATTTTTCTGCTCCGTAGAGTGTTCTAATGAAGAAAATTGGTTTCATCCACTACCATTAACTAATTACTGTATTTACTTCGATGTCAATACAGTGCATCAATTGCATCTGGCATATGGCGTCTTTTTTCAAATCTCTTAATCGTTGTCATTACGCTAAACAACGGTTCTCAAGTGAAGGTCATGTTCAAATGGTGATTTAACACTAAATGTTTTATTTACGCAGGCGAAGCGCATGCACATTTTACTCTCCCTCATTATTTACAATGATCAGCCTGATACATCTTCCAGGTTAAAAATTGTGTTAGTCCCTTCGAGGCCGGCCCAAAGTACTTATGCTGTTCTTTTTGATAAAGAAACCCTGGAGTTATGGAGTTAAGCGATTTCATCAACCAATTGATTATAAATCCGCCACAAATCGGAAAAACTCAATACGCTGCTATGGTTGAGATTAGGCTGAGAATGCTTTCACGATCGCCTGATTAAAATTAGCCGTTCGATAAGATTGGCCGAATAAAATGGTACGCTCTTGCGGTCGAAGTCAAGTGGTGACCCCCTTGATTTACTCGCGTCCATCTTTTGTACATGGCACACAAAACTACTGAACCCAACAACCTCGACCAGCGTGTTCTACTAACCAGCAGTAAGCCTTGCATTCCGGAATTGAGCAAAGTCAATTTTAAGATCCTAAGCTTGTTATCGTTAGACTTACTTTAGTTCACTTTCCGCATGAAGCGGTACAAATGTAAATTTTCCTATTTTGAATCGCACCCATCAGCACTAGACAGCTTTTTAGGCTAACTGACCGCGAAAACGTTCATCGATGCTCCAGCAAGCATTACCGTTAGCAAGGCACGAGAGGATCGAGAAGGCTCTTGCTCACGCGTCGGAATTCGAAGCAAAGAAAGTGAATCCAGTGAACTTGTTCGAAAATGAATTTAAAAAAAGTAGAACATCTTGATCGGCATTTATCCAAGAATGGGTATGCGGCAAGGCTGGACACCTAAGAAGAAATTGCTCCCAGCGTGAGAGGATCTATGGGATGGATTTGATGAAGAAATTTGGGTTTTCTATAGACTTGAAGAATGGAGTAGTTCATATCGGAATGCAGTTCGCCAAGAAATTGATGAAGAGGTCTACGTAACACTTGACTCTACCCCAACGGAGTGAGAAAGTCGTAGTCGAACACATGAATGGTGGTGCGCGGGGCAACTACACTAGCCTCTAGAAACCCAATTATAATGACAACCAACGTAGCCTTAGAAAGAATCCTAAAATGTCTAGCTAGCCTAATATCGTTCGTGGGTCTGAATTGGAGTAGGGCCATATTTTAAACCTGTCGTGACGCTGTGCCAAAATAATAAAATTCCGATAAAGATAATTCGTTTCCGCCGGTTATAGAAAGTACGGAGCCCCAGAATGTAGATAACTTACGGCCTAAAGCACCAACAAAACTCCACATAGTCCTAATCTGAAAACCTTTCGAATGCATTAGCGGTCTAAATGCCTTCGGAGACGTAACGAAAAACTTACATTGAGAAAAATTGCGTCCCCGTATTCTTATGTCGGGAAATTCAAATGACACTTTTTTTTAATACCCACAGCATAAACAAATACAGATTCTCTGAACATCATGCATGAAGTTTTCGTGACTAAGTTGTATATGACAATGAAAAAGTGTTTTTGTTAAGTTTTGCTTATTTATGGGAATTTTGGCATGAATTTGAATAATTAATCGAAAGGTAAATGTTTTCCTTGAACACCTCAAATGTATTCACCTACGAGAAAAGGAACGGTGTCTCTACATAACATAATCACATGCACATGACTCTCTTCAGTTGTTTGTATAAAAAGAACTGAAGGGTTCACAAACTTTTCCACCACAATTTCTTCAGATGTAATTATTGCCATAAGTGGTAAGACTAACAGTTATTTCAGATTGTGAAATGTTTCAAATGACCTTTAAGACCTTTACAGGCGTCCACTTATGGGAAATAGTCTGGCGTATTTAAATTCCTAGATTGTACGTGCACTGCAAACAAGAAAGGACAAACTGGGTTAGTAACATTTATTAGTAAAAATAACAATTTTCCAGCATCCTGAAGGTATGCTCCCTACTATCCTTGTTTTTGCATGTGTTCCATTGTGCAGAGGATAACGCTTGCATAGGTCTTACCGGGGGTGTCCTCCTTCTTCTTTGCGCATTCGTCGAGGAATGAGCAATCTTTACCCGCCGCCTGGCACTTTGCTTTGCATTTACTAAAATCTAAAGTGCCGTCGTCTTTTATATCATCTCTTGCCTTGAGAACGCATTCGCTAAACTTTTGAACTTTCTCATCGTTGATGCCATTCTCCTCTGCTGCTTTTTTGAACCGCTCCAGATCTCCCAAGCCCGCAGTCTCGGCGCAATCTTTCAGGACTTCTTCTAATTCATCGTCTTGCTGAAAACAATTGGTCACTTAAGTTACATTCATTACTACTCACCGCTAAAGTGATTGCTAGGACGCAGGCGACCACTGCAATAAAGATCTTCATTTCTGTGAATGCGTTTACCACTGCAAGTACTGCTATATATATATACTTACATAGATTAAAAAAATATATTTTTCTGCTCCGTAGAGTGTTCTAATGAAGAAAATTGGTTTCATCCACTACCATTAACTTACTAATTACTGTATTTAGGTACTTCGATTTCAATACAAGTGCATCAATTGCATCTGGCATATGGCGTCTTTTTTCTAATCTGTTTTAATCGTTGTCATTACGCTAAACAACGGTTCTCAAGTGAAGGTCATGTTCAAATGGTGATTTAACAATAAATGTTTCTGACTCATTATTTACAATGATCAGCCTGATACATCTTCCAGGTTAAAAAATTGTGTTAATCCCTTCGAGGCCAGCCCAAAGTACCTATGCTGTTCTTTTGATAAAGAAACCCTGAAGTTGGGGAGTATTCGCAAGCGATTTCATTTAAAGCAATTGATTATAAATCCGCCACAAATCCGAAAAACCAAACGTGCTGAATACCCGCACACTGTTATGTTTGAGATTAGGCACATGGCAGACAAAACTACTGAACCCATCGACCTCGACCAGCGTGTTCCATTAACCAGCAGTAAGACTTGCATTCCGGAATGGAACACACCCAATTTTAAGGTCCAAAGCAATCGCGGTAACATTGCACGCTTTCTCCAACGCGTTTTTGGTACCCCTTGTTATCGTGAGACTTACTTTAGTTCACTTTCCGTATGAAGCGGTACAAATGTAAATTTCCTTATTTTGAATCGCACCCATCAGCACTAGACAGCTTTTTAGACTAACTTACCGCGAAAACGTTCATCGATGCTCCAGCAGGCATGGATATGAAGAGTTACTGGCAGTTTGGACTCGAACATCAACATCGAGAAAACACTGGTTTCAGCGTGGGTCGGGATTTTGGCATTTTAAAGCTATGCCGTTTGGGTTATGCAACGCCCCTAATCGAATTAATGCTTAGAGGACTGTCATGAAAAATTTATTTGGTGTACCTAGATCACGTATAGATATTGGGCATACGTTCGATGAACACCTTAAGAACTTAGGAGCCGTTTTTCAAAGGTTCAGAAGTGCAACTGAAATATAACCTGAAAATGGAGTTGCAGTGTTGCAATTCAAGAATCTAGAAGGCCAAGTTACCCGGTGGATAGAGAGGCTGGCAGAATATGATTTCCAGACGGAGCATCGAACTGGTCGAAGTTATGGTAACGTTGATACCTTGCCAAAAAATCCATGTACCGCCAGCTGTGCGTACTGTGCTCGACTATAGACCAAGCAGGGGAATATTCAAGTGGGACGATTTGGGGCAATTGATGATCATTGAATTCCCACAGTACTTCGGCAGGATCAGGACAGCGACCTCGATCTACAACACATAGTGCAATGGAAAATTACAAACAAAAGGCCCTTTTGGGAAGAAGTTTAGCCCCCCCCCCCCCTCTCTAAATAAGATCGGAGATCCTTTGTTACTTACACGATGGTTGATCCGGAGGACACTTGGGCTTGACCCTGGGCTTGACTAAGACTCTACAAAATGTACGTGAAAGGTTCTATTGGGTAAATCACAAAAAAAGACGGGGAAATGGGCCTGTGACGAAAAGGAAAGGACCAATGCGACAGTACCAATATAGACAGTCCGTTTGAAAGAAATAGACAGTGGAAACAAATACATCTTGGTAGCGATGAACTATTTTTCGAAATTGACAGAACCTTCTACCCTTCCAAATTAAGAAGCTATCAAAGTTGCGGACGTCTTGGTGAAGCAGATTGAAATTACACTCCGATCGAAGGCGGAACTTTGGGTCATTATTATTCCAGAATATGTGCTGAGCATCCGAAAAACCAGGACGACAGCCCTCCATCCACAATCTGATGGAGTGGTGGAGAGAAGGAATGGGATTATGAAAAAATATTTGGTTCATCAGCGTACATGCTTTAAAAAACGGAGATTTAATCAAAATAATTCGCATTGCAAGATTAACTTTAGAAAATGGTAGTTCACCGAGTACACATATGACAATAGAGACAATAGGGAAAAAAAGAACTGACCAAGAAAAAAACCAGCCAACAAATTAATACTAAACTTTATAGCAAAATTAGTTTTCTGTAATGACATAAATGCATGTTATGATGGTTGTCAAGTAAATTAATATAATGTCGACTCACAGGCTCCACTGGGATTCCTATAGAATTAACATTTGACACACGTAACATAAAAAAACAATCATTAAAGCATTACAATAAATTCACATAATAAGTTTGGATATTGGATGGCCAGTGCAAATTTCACACCGAGTAGTTGGCCTTGACCCAATGGATACAAAAAACAAAAGGCACAACGGGAACACGCCGTACGCTTTTAGCAGATCCCTGCTCAAGTTAGATGTCAAGGGTCACTGGGTCGACTCAACGAATTGATTAGCAATATCGGCTCTTTTCGAAGTCACAAAAAAAAACAGTACATAAAATATATATCTCTACGTATGTCAGTTCTAAACTTTAGCCAGCCTCTGCTACGTCAAATCGAGATATTAAATATCGGTATCAAA